CCTTTCCCCCTGACTGAACGGCTGAAAGGAGGCTGCCAAGTTCTTCCCCCTGCCTGCTGCGGGACCTACATCACTCCATGCCGAAGAAAGCTAAACAAAAGCGTAGATGAGAACTGTCATGTTGGAAAACACGGCAAACTGTTGTGCGAAACATGCAGGACAGGAAGGTAGACTGCAGCTGAAGTATGAAACAAGCGACAGCTTCGGCTTGCATGTTTCAGATGGTATCAAACTATTGCGTGGTACATTGGAAGCGGCCCTGCTCCCCCGTCAGAAAAGGCAAAACAAGGGCGGCTCCAAACCTAAGGAAGGTTTGTAAGCATAGGACAAACCTCACTTCAGAGGGGGGGCCGCTTCTCCGCTTGACGAAGGATCTCTTCTGGGTTGCGAAAAAGAGATTCACCAAAACAGCAAGAAGAAGCATGCAATCCGAACTAAAATCCCTCTAGTGGACGAGATCCCCCGAGTTTATGCTGTCACTGCTGGCATGCTCTCAGAAGTACTCGTGAATGTGCTCAGCCAGCGCGCGGCGTCTGCGGTGGGAGTCGTCGGAGTTGTCATCCCCCGCATCGTCTTCCATCTGTGTAGGTGCCGTCGCGCGAGCGACATCCCCCATGCCGTGGTGTCGTTCTTGGGTCCACCAGGGCTGTTCGGAGCTAGCGGCTCCGGTTCCCCCTTGGCTGGAGGCCAGCAGCGCAGAGTTTTTGTGAAGCAGCGCCAGGAGTCGTGCCTGTACCTCCCGTCGCACGTCATTCCCCCAGGCTGGGAGTTCTCCACTGAGTTGGTCCAGCGCGGTCTCGTAGTTCCCCTCGTTGCTGGAGCCATCAGGGTGCACTGCTGTCCCCCCGTCGGTGGCGTCGAGGAGGGCCTGGAGGGACAGGCAGACGTCCAGGAGTTGTCGCCAGTCATCCGCTTCCATCATCGTGTTCCCCCCGGCGATCTTGAGCAGCAATCGACGCAGCAGGCTCATGAGTGAGGGGATTCCCCTTTCTGCCACCCATTCCCCCGCGAGGCGCTGTAGCCATTGCACAAGGGAGTCTATGCAGGGCGAGAACTCACCATGACATATGTTCGTCTGGGCATGTTGCGAGAGCTGCATGCGGGCCAGGTCTGCCATCCGGCGGACTGCTTGAGCTGCCGTCATCTTCCCCGGGGGGGGCTTGTGTCTTTTGGGCAACCTCTCAGCATCGTCCCCCTGTGTGTTTCCCCGTTCCATGATGTCTGAGGAGACTGTTGCGAGGTGTGCATCTGCCTCTGAGTATAGTAGGACATCTACGAGCGCACTATCCGCAATGTCTTGGATAGGTCTCCCCCCTGGTAGGTGTTCGGAGAGGCGCCTGATGGCCATGAGGTGGGTCTCTAGCTGTTGCCAAAGTGGCTTCCCCGGCGTGGGTAGGTAGGAGTGCGGTGGTGGGTAAGCTCGGTTGCTTGTCGTGTCTGCTTGTCCGGGCATTGGTAAAGTGGTGAGATTGCTTGCTGCAATCGTGGAAGGGGTTGTGCGGCCGTGCGAGGCTTGTGGTTCCTGTGGTTGGTTGTTGCTCGTAGTAGCCTGCTGTTGTGGAATGTTGGTGGCGGGCAGTTGCACATTGCCCGCATTTGTGGGTGGGTTGGATGCCGCTATTGTTCCTCCGGAGGTCGGTGGTTCTGCAACTTGGTTGGGTGGTCGTCGTTGCTGGATCTGCCGCTGCATCATGTTGTTCACGTCATGGTCCGGCTTGGGTGGCGGCGGTGTTGGGCCGGGGTTGGTTTTGCTTCTGCCGCCAATGTCGCGCTTGTCTTTGGCAAGGACGTAGAAGTGGGTGTCGTCCGTCTGGGATGGCGCAACCGGACGCTGGCTGTGTGTTGTCGTGTTGGAGAGGCGCTGTTGCTGCCCCCTGCGAAGCGGCCTGCCATCCATGAGGGGATGTGCTGTCCCCTGTGGCTCTTGTTCCTGCTGTTGCGGCAAGGGTGGCCGTTGTTGTTCCCCCGGAGTCGTGTCAGGTTTTTGAGCTCTGTCGTAGAAGGTCTGCTTGGCTGCTGCAGCGGGGTGCCCGGAAGTAGTGTTGTCGGGAGTGTAGGAGGGGTCTGGCTCAGTTGTTCTGGGGGGGGGGTCCGTGGAGGACCGGGCCGTGTGGTTGCGTTGGTTGCCGGCGGGCTGTGTGGGCTGTGTCTGTGGCTTAGCTGGTGGTGCTTGCTTGGAGGTCCCTGCTGGGGTGCTCGGAGACGCAGCACTCCCCCGGCCGCGTTTTCTTTGCTCAACTTGTTGCCGAGCTTGCCGTATCTCTGCGGGGCTTGTGGTGCTGTACTGCTCAAGCTCCATATACCAGTGTCCAGCTTTCCCCCGCCCGAAGGACAGTTTGTCCCCCTCCGCGATCATAAAACTGCCTGGCTCATGGTTGTGTGCTGTCGGTGCTTCCACCACGAACCCATACCACAAGGTGCTTCCGACTTGGGAGAATCTGATGCGCGTGCCAGCGCTGAATGGTGGCGCGGTGTCGGCAGGTCCACGGTCCCCCTGCATAGCCACGTGTAAACCTGTGGTGGGGTCTGTCTGTGGATTCTCCTCCCCCATGTCGGGGATGTATTCGGGGTGGTACTGCACGACGGTTTCCCAGCAGCCATGTGTTAGCTTGTACATTGTGTAGGCCGCGTTGGGAGACACCTGTATGTGTGGTGGGTAGTTGAGTGCTTCGTCGTGTTGCTCGAGGGTGCTGTGGTTGGCCGAACTTGTGGCTGTTGATGTGGCTTGGTTGCCGCTAGGCTGCACCGCGCCGCCGCATGCGTCTGGGTCATGGGAGGGCGTGGGCTGCCGCCTGTTGTCAGGTCGTCGTTGTACGTGGGGGTCGCGGTGTGCTCTGGCTTCCCACTCGTCCCGAGCTTGGTTGGCGGCTTTCTCCCCCGCTGCGTCTGCGTGTGCGTCCGTGGGGGGCTGCGTGTGGTCATTCCATGCGTGGTCCCCGCTTGACGTGCTCGAGCTTTCCGTGGTGGACGACTGGGTGCTGCTGCTGCTGTCGCTGCTGTTGGCTTCCCCTGCTTCGGGGGGTGTCGGGTTGTCTTGTGCAAATTGGTATCCCCAGCCTGGACCTTCTTGGGGCTGGGGAGGTGGGCGGCTGAGCTGGCGGTTGCTTCGGTGCAGTTGCTTAAAGGTGTATTTGCCGCGTTTGTTCGCGACTCTCTGTGATCCGTGGCCAGCTGTAGCTTCCCGGGCTTGCCATTGTTCCCCCTGTGGGTGGCTGTGGCGGCTACTTCCCCCGTGCTGAGGCCGCTGTTTGCGGATGCCACCCCACCCGGGAGTTTCCCAGGGCGGTCTGCGGGTGGCTTGTTGTTGCTGTGTGGGAGTGGCCTCGCTGGTAGGATCAAGTGGTGGTGGTTGTTGTGGAGGTGGTTGTTGTTGTTGTTGTTGTGAAGTGTCTGTCGCATCGCCGGCTGGGGGCTGGTTTGCTGCTGCAGCGGGAGTGGATCCCGACCATTCCATTTCTGGGGGGATTTCCCCCTGGTATGTGCCTTCCTGGCCCTCATACCATTCCCTCTGATTGCGTAGCTCCTGCTCGGTAAAGAGGCTTTGTCCCGGGTTGTTGTTGGTTGCTGCCATTCCCCCGCCTGTGCCAGTTTGCGTGCTTGGTGTGTTGGGTGTGTTCTGGAGTATGTGTTCGTCCCACGGAGGCAGCGATGGTGGGTCGTCGACGTCTGCTGGATGAGCTGGCGCTGTGGGCGGTTGCGGTGGTTGGTGGCTTCGGGTGGGTCCCGTCTGGGTGTCATGTGCTCTGGCCGACGGTTTTCCCTGGTCAGGCCTTGGTCGTACTGGTGGCGTGGTGGCGGCATCGCATGTGGTGGCAGGTGCCGTGTCCTCCCCTTGGCGTGGCGAGGAGTAAGGGGTGTTCCATGGATCATCGTCAGGGTTGTAAGGCTTTGCATATCCCATTCTGTAGAATGGCGCTGCGGGTACGGTATTTGGGGGGAGTCTCTGGGCTGTGGGGTCCCCCCTTGCAGAGGTAGGAGGGGTGGGGATGTCCCAGGCCGACTGTGGAAAGTGTGCTTCATGGGCAGGGAGGTCATGGCCAGGTGGTGGTTGGTAGGCCGGCTGTGTGGGAGTCTGTGGCTGTGGTGGTGCTGTGCTGGAGCTCGCTCGCTGTGGTGGCTGCATTTGTTGTGGAACCTGCTGGTTCTGTATCTGGTATGCTGGAGGCGGGAAGTACACCTGCGTGTGTCCCCCTTGCTGAAAGGCTGCGTTCGGCGTTATGGAGTACCCTCCCCACGTGGTGTACGGTACCCCTTGGGAGGTGACGTGGGTGGACTGCCAGGTGAGCTGCGTCGGCGGCGCTGCGTTCGGATCTTGCATCCATTGTGGTATCCAGGGTGCGTGTGGCATTCCCCCTGGTTGTGGTGCTTGTTGCGTCATCGCTGCTGGCAAGTGGGGCTGCTGTGGAGGCTGTGGGGGTGGGGGGTGGGGGGGGTGGCCGCGGTTGCTGTTGTCGTCCTGAGTCGTCCCCCCGGGTCCGCCCTGGGGTGGGGTGCCACCGCCGTTCCCCGCTAGGCTCGTGATGACGAGAATGACAGCCGTCAGGGCGGTCATCTTCTTGTACGTCACTGCGAAGGTATGCTTGTTGTAGCTCAGAGATCAGTACAGATCAAAGCTTCTGCTCAGCATAGAGTTATGCAGGTGAGAGAGGTGCATGCAGGTAGTAAGTGACAACGGCATGTTGTTCGAGCCAAGGAGCGCACGGTAGGTCAAGGTGATCACGTTCATGCAGGATCCCCCTGATATACGTCTCAGCCACTTTCTCGGAGAGCTCTGCAGTACTATTAGGGCGTTGAGGGCATTCTTTAGGAACGTGTACAGGGGCTGTGGTTGGGTCACTAGTCCTGAATCGTCTCGCGGAACTGGAGTTTGAAGGACGTGCAGATTGTCACGGAGTGGCAGTCTCTTCTGTCTTTTCAGCTCCACTCTGCAAAGAGGATCCTCTGTCTTGGTCCCCCTTCAGGCTGCAACTCCGGAGAGTGCTTCTTTGCACTCTGCATCATCAAGCAGTCGGAGGTGGGAGAGGAATGGGTTCTTCCCCCCGGCTGTCTGGGCTTGTGCCCCTGTGTGGCGCCAGGTTCGCGATGCTTGTCTGTCGTCCCGATGCCCATGGTACATCATATTTGTCGAGCCAGGCTTGCATAAGCCCAGACCATTGGCATCTGTCCATGGCAATGTCGTGCCAGTTCTCCCCCGCTATAGAGGTGACTTGCCGGTCAATGTCCATGTACGCGTTGAATCGCCCCGCGTGTCTGATGTTGCCATACGGTGGTCGGTTGGCATTCCACCATGCGAGGCATCTCCAGCGGAGGAGTTGTCCCCCGACAGGGTCTCCCCGGCACATATGTCCCAACAATCCCCAGATCTGTTCCAGAATGAATGTGGACCATCTACTGGCTGCAGGGTGCTTCTTGGTGATCCCGTGGCGGAAGAGCATCCCCCGAGTTCGGCGGAGAGTGCGTTGATTCCAGGTGAGCCAATCTTCACCATCCCCCCTTCGCATCCCCGCCATATCTCTAACATGAGCCAATTGAATGGAATTGGCTTGCTTCAGTATTTGTGCGTGGCATGGCCACGTGGCGCAGCCCCATAGCGCTGATTGGCGTACCAACATCGTATGCAGAATGAGCTTTTTGGATATCGGCGCCTTTGCCATCAACTCCCCCCGGTGGGTCCAGAAGGCTTTCCTCCCCCTTGTCTGCATGGCCGCTATGACTATGGCCGGCGTGAGGTGGAATGCCATGGGGCTCCCGAGGACAGTCATAATGTGGTCTTTCCCCTTGGTCGGGACGTCTTTTCCCGCAACTCGGAAAGTGGTCTGCGTCTTGTTGCTGATGATGTCGACTTTCCCGGGGTGCAGGAAGAGGCCTTTGTGCGGTAGTCTTTCTCCCAGCAGGTCAAGCATTTTCTGCATGTGGTCACGGGACATGGACCAGATGTAGGTGTCGTCCATGTAGCTGCCGCCATCTTCGGGAGGGGGATCCCCCGATGCGGGTTTAGCGTCCTTCGCTTTCCCGATGCAGTCGTCGAGGTCTCGAGCTACCACAGAGCCGAAGGCAACGGGGCTGTCAGGACTGCCTTGGCGGACCCCGTTCGTTTGGTCCAGGAGCAGCGTGGTCCCCCGGAAGTTGACTGTCAGCTTGTCGGAGCGTAAGAGTGTCTCTCTCTCTCTCTCTCTTCATTTTACATCGGGGCATGGGAGTCTTGCCAGGACTCCCGGGCCGAGAGGCCCACCCCTGTAATGGGTCCTTGTGGGGAGAGTCAGCAAACAGAAAACTTCCCCCGGGTTGTGAAGAAACTAACTATCGCTCTCTCGCTCTCTCGCTCTCCCGCTTGCTTGATCCACGTGTAAGGAAAGGGGCATCGCTCCCCTCTCCCCCCGAAGGGGACCAGTCCGCCATGCATCTCACGCGCTGCACGGCGTGAAACTCTGTCATGACCTCTCTCTCTCTCTCCACAGTTGCAAATCCCACTCTGCCGTGGACAGCACGATCACTCCACTCTATTATGTTTACTTTACATGCATTCCTTCACCCTCCTTCATCTACAAGACACTAAGACCACGAATGAAGTATGTGCGGCCCAAGAAACCGCGATCTCGTCAACTTTCTCCTCGAGGACTTTTGGCGATGCATGCGCAGATGCTTCTGCTTTCGTTTGCAGACCTTCATCACAAGATCCGCTTCAGTGTGCAATGAACGTGAGGAGCTGCTACTTCCAGGGTCCATGTCATCTTCAGCCAAAACCCTGATACATACTAGTGTGCTGGATAACTCCCTCTCAGGAAACCATCATGCAGCTGCAACTGCACAAATGCCTCCTTCTGGACTACCTGCTTTCCAGCACAACAGCTTGAATTGACGAAGTTGGCGCCGCATGGTCGGAGCACCAAGGCCTTCAACGCATGCTTGATGCAACCGTCGAGGTCGTCTCTTCGATGATCCCATCCATGAACATCAGCATCGCAGGAGCTGGAGGTCATTGTGACCTCAGAAGGACAAAAGCCGTCAGCAGGCGGCTTTGCCTTGAGTTCTCAGGCGACGTGAAGCTGGCACTGAATTTTTACCGGCATTACTGACGGTCCACATGACACAACGAGTATGCGAGCTACATATCTGCCGCGATGGCACTTGGATGATCTTCGCACGGAAGTTGATGGACCAGGATGTAGTTATTCCACCCATAAACATCCTCAGCAGGGGCAGCCGTACACGGATGCCAGCTATAGCTGGCTCCATGCGAGGACTTCGTGAGAAGAGATTGGAAAGCACCAAGAAGTGCAGAAGGTGTCGTCTTGCTTCAAGCCAGGCAGCTCGTGAAGTTCAGGAATCCAATGGCCGACAGGACACCATCCAATACCCATTGAATGCCTTGCAGCGCTGCACATATCTGCAGAAGCTCCCTGTTGTTTGGCATGTCTGCAAAACCTTGCTGCCACCCAACCTGAACACAGATGTTCGTCAAGTTGCATGCCCCACCCAGGGAGAACATCTTTGTCTGCGACAGACTTCATACGAAGCCAATCCTCGGTCGATCACTAAGGCCTTGTTCCTTCTCCATGCCTCACCCTGCCTACCACACACCACAATGATTCTTCCACTGAATCAGACAGGCCAACCGGCAGAAAAGAAACAACTCCACCAAGTTGAGAGCTACATGCTTTCACTGAAACCTCGTTCCACATGGGCATCGCCCTTTGACAAGTAGCGCGGCATAGCATCCTAACCGTTCCGGGCTCCAGTACTCGTCGACCGCTGGCATGTGAGTAGCCTTGCGCTTCGTTCACCAAGTTTTAACTGGTGTCCGCGCCATTCGGCGCGATCTCATGAGTTTGGGCAGCAAGATCTTGTGTGTGCGATGGGCAATGCTTGCAGTGACCAATGCCTGCGGCACCTGTACGAGCAGGTTCTAACAGCGGATTGAATGAGAAGGTGGAGACATGCCATGATGGCGCACCACCAAGCCTCCGTTTAGCAACGCCGCGCAGAATAGCGCCTGATCTCGAAGCGACGACAAGAGTCCACCTGGAAGAGCTTAACCGTCACAAAAAAGTGTGGTGGCAGGTGCTATGCTTGCGTCTGCATCGACGGATTTACTCCTAAGAGAAACAGAAGGGAGCAAATTTGCACGGACTTCGAACGACAGCGCCCATGTCCGTCACTATACTGACACTGACTACGGTGTCAGTCAGTGCAGCTGCCATCACTGCTGTAGACAAGAGCTTCCTCGCCTGCGAAAGATCCGCAGATGCCACCTCGGTGTAGAAACAACCAGTCCCCAGACTGCTCATGCAGTGCAGGGAGTTTGCCACAAATGGAACAGCAACCTCTCCAGTCATCATCAAGGCTTGAGGCATAAAACGTGGCCGTCAAGCAAGCTAAAACCAATGCGTCCTTGTGGTTTGTCGCAGTGACAATCGGACGGCAGACTGAGGGCACAACCTCCGGAAAGCACTCGCAGCGATCGGCCACGTACCCATGCGCTGAACTGCGGATGGCGGCCATCAGCCTTTCTTTGCGTCCGACACGCATGGGAACTCCAGATATGATATGTATGTATATATGTATGTAGCTATATATATATATACATAAATACACACACACACACACTTTCGCCTATGCCTTTGCTGCGCACGGCCACTGCTACGGTGTTGCTCAGAAACTAAACACAAGCCGCCAGCACAACAGTTGAACCACTGCCAAAACGTCCAAAAGGCTCGTCTCGCGGAGAACTTGTTGGGTAGCTTCGTCTTTCCTCGACTGCGACGCAGTGCAGGGACGCGCTCCATTGCATTCAGCCCATTATCTGAGCTGGAGTTGCTGCTCAACCGTGCCAGGGACGACATCTGTCCGGGGTTTGCCATGTGACGTCCTGAAGCTTCGTTTTTCTGAGCCAAGGTGCTGTGCTTTGACCGTGCCTTCGTCACCTCGAAAACTACAGGCCGGGTAGAAAGCTGCAGAGGAACAAAAGAGAGCTAAGCGGCATGCAAGCCGCCATCACGTCTGCATTCAAGTGGCATAGTACGCGGTCAAGCGGCGACGAGCACGGAAAGCACTGACAGAAAAGGCCTCAGACGAAGGGAGCTCATCATCGTCGCTCTGTATACGCTGGGTGCTGCAACCGGCGACATGTTGCAGCTTGGAGGCTGTGTCTTTCATCCCAATCCTCTTGAAGATCCGCTTCCGGAAGAAGCGATCCAGAGGCATTCCTGATTGGATGGGACAATGGCAATCTGACTGCTCGGAACACACCCCCCCGAAAGTCCCTAAAGTGTGCAGCACCAAGACACTCCCCTGCGGAGTAAAACAGTTCTCCGTGTAGGTGTACTCAAGCAGATCGTCATGTGACATGCAACAGCACCAAACCCTGCTGTCGAACCTTCATCCAACAAACTCGTACCCCTGTTGTGGAAAGGGTGCAGCGCCCCCAAAACTGTTCCTGTTTGTTTAAAAAACACAGGGAAGAGACGAAATCCACTTCAAATTAGCAGGAAAGAGCCGGGACATTAGATCATTAGCCTTTGCAGAAACTTCGTGCGATGTATTGCCTACAACAAGCCATTCGAAACACAGCCTTGGATGTTTCGGGATATAGTGCACACACCATGTTGTGCAAAATGAGTCTGAAAGCAGGGACAACGGGACAACATGAAATGGGCAGGTAGCACATTCACTCCTCTGATCCCTGAATCCTAGCCAACAAGGTTTGGCCCAAAGGCGACCGCTCATTCGAGAACGCGGAACTGCTTACTGCCCAAGCATGAAGGTCTGCCGAGCTTCCAGACACCACCTCCAGCACACGGCCAAGCACGTCCATTCCCATAGAGTACTCCCACCTGTCCGAGAGAGACAGAGAAGGTAAGTGAGTGAGGGACAGGGTGAGTGAGAAGCACGGAGGCAAAGCGGCGAGGAACTAAGACGGCCAGAGACACAGGCTGCGAGTTGGAAGGAAGAGCCCAATGCCCACTGCCGAGTTCAGTGCTTACACAAAGGATGAAGACATGCAGAGCACCTCTCCCCCGGATGAAATCGTAGCGGAAATGATGCGAGCTCGTCGCAGAAGCTCTTCCTGGAAGAAACTCACACTGAACGGAGATCCGTCTCTGGAAGCTGGCTTTCTGGTTTCAGTGACCCGTTGTTGCCCCCTACTTACTGCGGCGCCAGTGGCATCCATTGGGAGCACACTCGGTCTGTAGTCCATATCGAGGCATAAGTTAGCTGAACTCTTCCTGTTACTGGTGCCTGCGCGTCATACTTGCATCGAAGACACAAGTTGGGGACAAGCCCGGCATCCACACGCTTGACGAATCTGGTGTACGGCCCCTCATCCAGCTTTTCGGACTTTCGCTCGCGCGAAGGACCATAACCTCTCCATTTTCATCAAGGTCAAGTTTGCTGTCTTGCTTCGCCGAGCGACAATACTCACAGGTGTTACACCTGGCAGATCTCTACGACATTTGTCGGACCAGTGGGGGCAACGTTGCTTGGAGTGTGCATGATGACGGATGACATGCAGCGCTGCAGCATACACCGTCAATCCCCCATCAAAAGACAAGCTCTGGAATCGATCGCGATCACTGCTTGCCATGCTACCCAAGCCGGAGGTGTGGGTGACCAGGTGGCGCAGTGTAATCGCCCGGCAAGCATCTTCATAGACCTTGCCCTTGGCGACCTGGGGCAAGTTGCAATCAGGAGATCAACTACACTTGCAAACACTAGTTACTAGTCACAAGCTACTGCCTGCAGCAAGCACGCCCGGCCTTCATGTGGCGAAAAGCCGGGATGTATTTGTGGACCGGGTCATCCAAGCCCAGCTTACCCTCCTGGACAGTGTCTGACTCTCCTATGCCGTATCCCTGCTTTCACGGCCTTCCGGCCTTGGGTGAGACGACTCCCCAACTGTCACTGCAACGCTCTGTGCAATCCTTCCATCTTCTCTACGACTCTACAACTTGAACGTTGCAGTTGTTCAATCGGCCTCCCACAACGCCATGAATGCCACTGCTGTGATCGGCTTCCTTCGAAAGCAACAGTGCAGCACATCGCAGTGCAATCTGCGACTCGGCTGCTGGAGGCAAAAATGCTAACTTGAGCATTAGCGAGTCAATGAGTTACATGTGAACTTACGATCCCGTCAAGGCGTCTTCAATTGCCAGCCGAGGGTCGTCATGGAGTGGCAGCGAAACAAAGACTTCTCGGTCATTGGTTTCCGCGCCTCTTTATCCTGGGCCCGACAAGTCATCTGCACAAATCACATCCCCTCACATCCCTTCACCAAATGCGTGGCCCAAAGCCTGGACCCGACATGGCACCTGGTAGCCACGGATATCGGCATAGACCAGGCAGTTGTCTTTGAGCGCGCACTCCGCGACTCCCGGCATGTAACCTCACTCACACTTGGCACCCGGCAGAGATGCACCCAGCTGGCTTCTTGTGCGCTTCGCACAAGCCATGAAAACGCTCGCAGACTATCCGTTCCGATTGGCAGATTCAAACTGCTTCCTGAGTCGAGGCACCAATTTCGATCTGTCTCTCGTTGGCCTGTCGTGAAAAGTCTTGGCAGTGAAGGGTGACAAATTGCACAAGCTTCTTACACATGCGGTGGACGCACGGGCTGCAATTTCTATAGTGCCGTTAATTATGCTGGAAGGTAGAGGCACACACGTGTATCGAAGTCAAAAACGGCCGGCCGGAAAAAAGATCACAGATCCGTGCCTCGCTATGTTCCGCCAGCACCTGCGAGTCAAGTCCCACGTCTTCTGGGCTTCCTTAGCGGGCACATCGCGGCCCTGCTTCAAACAGTTCTCCCAGAGAGAAACTTCATGGTTTCGGCAGCCGGCGTCGGTCTGACATAGTGGCCAACTGCTTTGGTTCATTGGTGCACTGCGCAGCTGACGTACTGCCGCTCTCTGCCCTTCCTTCCGTTTTCCACTGCTCCCCTCGCACAGTTCCTCCCTGTTCGTCCAATTCTTCCTGTTGGCCTTCCTTCTCGCCGGGTCTGGATTCGTTCCTAGTTGTCCTTCCTTTGCGCCCTGTCGTTAGGATCGGCTTTCTTGCAGCCACCTGGTCCTGGCCCTGTCGACACTTTTCCAGAGTTGTGAAAGAACTCTTCTACAAGCATGTCAGCAAGAAATAGCAACGATCTGCACACCACCCTGGACGCCGCCCAGTATCGAGGCGGCAGACCCGGCAAACCTGTGCTGCGAGCACACGCGCGGAAGGGTCTTCGAAGAATGAAAGTCTTCTTAGCCAAGCTGAACTTGTCTTTGATTTTGGAGCACGTCTCCAAGCACTACATTTGTCAGCAGTTCATTAGCAAAGATACTTCTGCCAGGCTTGCGCAGATAGAATGCAGGTTTGATGATGCGGTGGTAGTATGCGTTTTGCGTGCTCACGCTTCTGCAAGGGCCCAGCATCTACCGCACGGTTCTACAAGCGGCCGCGCGGGGCAGCTGTCATAACAAATTGCTGTCAAAGTTTCAAGTTCAAGAACCATGTAAATCAAAGTCTGCAAAAGAACAGCCTGTCACTCAGCCCTAGATAGATTCTGCAGACCATCCAAACCCTGACCATGTGCAGTCAAGATGCAGATCTTGTGAGATGAAGGCTTGCCCGCAGCTTTAGACATTGCTGTTAGGACTCCCAGCACTCCGGACAGGTTGTAAAGGGCATGAGGACGCAAGTTCCGAGGGAAAAGTAGGAGTTTCACGAGGTTGCAAAGTTACCCTCATTACCCCTAGCACACACAGGGCGTTCAATCGGAGTTGTGTACTTGCGGGCCAAAAGGATTATCATGGCAGTAGCCTCAGCCGCAAGATGTCTGAGTTGAGGACCGTCGCATATATGTGCTGCTCTCTTATCCCTATCATCCCCAGCGCCAGACCATGGCAAGGCATGATGTGACGCTCGACGCACAAGTTGGACATGAGCTGATATGCTGCATGTGCTTGTGACTGATTGTGTATCAGCTCATGGTGCTCGAGGACATTCATTTGTCCGAGCCTGCCCCCCGAGCAGTGTCTGAGCGAGGACCTCACCAAAGTGCAAGAGAAGCTCTCTACTAGCACGGCCCACGTCATGGACGAAAGGCAGCCTTCAACTCATGGCTTCGATTCAACTGGTCCGGTGTAGGCCCCAGGCTCGTGCCGGAGCTGCGGGCGTTAGGCGCAGTGGACTCGGATTTCGACAGGCGTGCTCGCAGAGCATGAGCGGAAGCTGAGTCTGTCACAAGAGGGTATGTTCCTAATTTTACGAAGGCAGGTCTTCCGGGTGAAGATCAGCTACGAGTGATAGAGAAATTGCATAAAGCAGGGAAGCTTGCAGCAGGCATGGCGCACTTCACCAGCAACCAACGCTGAGTCTGACACACCTGTCAACGGTGCCGATGCCTCGCAGACGGAACTACCGGGTCAGCTTGGCCAATCTGCCTCCTGTCAGCCTATTGCTGGTCTTCCAGATGCGAAACAACGCATAGAGTCATAGAGACAGGACAGAGAGAAGAATATAGGGAGCATGTGCTCCATAGATTGCTTCAGTTCCTGGGTGGCTTGTCATGTCCCTCGTCCAATTTCCACCTGAGCCTATGCGACAACCCTGCTAGGTGAGTCGACAATCTAGCCTTCTCCTCCCCGCCAGAGCTGTGGAAGTGCATAGGCCTGAGCTCTGTGCCACGCAACCAGCATTGCTTGCATCTTTGGGGACTCTGGTCGCCAACTCTAGTCAACTCAAGTAGTCCCCGTGCACTCACGAACGGCGAGACGGCTTCTGAGCAGTTCATAAAACTGTAACCGGTGAATCACACAGTGCATGTGCCACACTCCGAAATCGACGCATCCGTGAGATCACGGCCACGCGCGCGTGAGGCTTGGGACGCCAAGGGGGCCTCATAGGCGAAGAGCTTCTTGGGGCTTTTGCTTCGGACTCCACGTTGCTCGGTTAAGCGACGTTACAGGCGGCTACGCCTGGGCAGGAAATGTCCCCAACAAGTTGCACTGCAACCAAGTATCCCCACTCCAATCCTCCAATCCGACTTGCGATGCAGGCAGCTCTAGCTGGATGTCCTTGAGGTGTGTTCGTTTCATTTAATCAAAAAATCATCTATCACCAGCCGTCGCCAAGAGAGGCCAGCAAGTTAGCAAAAGATCACAAACCGCTCTGAAGAACAGCCACAAAGCAGACTCGACTCCCCTTCCCCCCTCCCCCCAAAGCGCTCTCTCGCCAAGTTGGCGGGCCTGTGCTGACTGGCATCATCCACGAAGGGATGGGAGAATACTGTGCCACCTGACTTGGCAACAAGGCATGTCAAAGCGTTCTCGGAGCTTCACAGCTTAGACTCCAGCCAGGTCTGAAAGGTACATGGGTGGATTCGTGATGTCCTGAGCGGAGTTCAGGAGGTACTGGAGAGACTTGCCCCGACTTCAGGTGACAGCGAGCTGATCGTGCAACTGGCTGCGTGAACTGGCATCACCCCGGGGCTTGAGCAATGGTGTGCTTGACCTGGGCGAGGTGCCCATTCTTGTGCAGCCACTGTGCCACTCCGCACGCGCAAGATCAAACTTGTGCCGTCATTCTTGGCCTGTGCTGGCAAGAGGCTATCTCCGCAGACCAAGGATCGAATTGATATCCTCAGGACTAATATGCCGAAACATGCAGGGTGCCTTGAGGGTGGCATGGTGCTCTCTTTGAAGCTTGCTTACCGACGGTGAAAGTGAAATCCAATCTAGGCATGCTGCTGTGCATTGTGCTGAGGGATCAGAACTGGAAGCATTCAACAGGACCTCTGCGAGATCGTGAAATTGTAGGAACCTAGGGCCGGTGCGCGAATAGCCCTCCACGATGAAAGGCCCCTCACGTGCATAGGTCGTGTGGCGCTCTCACCAACCCCCTCTACCTTCCCTGCCTCCAGGCTGATCCTCGGCGAGCCACCGAAAGCCGGGGCCTTCCACGGACGTTGCGAGTGCCCACTCCATACGAGTACCCGATCCGTGCACCTTACCAAATGCAGCCCTGCCGGCAGAACAGTGGTAAGTTTTGCATACTTGATTCGTGGCTTGCTGTCCCCGAGTCTGTGCAGGACGACGGGGCTCGTGGTTATTGAGGCTTTCGGGGCTGTTTGTTCCTGTCCATTCGCAGATCTTGGGTCCGGACCAGCAGAGAGCGCACGTCTTTGAACCACAAGTGCAGCCTCCACCTACAAGAGCAGAACGTCTTGAAGTGTGGTCCAGTGTGGTGCTTGTGTGACGACTGCCTCCGCACGGACAGTAACTTCAGATAAGCAGGTTGGCCTGACGTACATCTGGTCATTGACCGGCCTGGTCTAAAGATGTCTCATGAGTGCTAAGCTGGCAACGCTATACGACATGGATACAGACTCTGCATCGGCCAAACCCTCGACAACGTTGCATTCAATTCGATTCGTGCAGATCGGATGGACTCCTTCCTACTACACACATTACACACGTACTGAGTTCTGGACGGTGTCAGGGATGTAATCTCCATTTTGCTGCGGTCGCAGGTCGTCTTGATCTCAGTTCGCGGATGCGAATTCGATCAGGGATCATGAGCCAGAATCACAGCACACCTTTGAACATATCTCGGGGGAGCACAGACCACTGCATTGTCGAGAGCACCTCCGAGACCCGCCGCTGCTTGACAGAAGGAGGCCGGGTAGGGAGGTCTGCAACCAAACGGGATGTCGGAACTCGGCAATCGTAAGGTGAGATCTCACCTGCTCTCTCGCCTTGATTTGCTGTGTTTTCCACAACCGGTGCCTGCTGGTAGGTGGCTAAGCCACGAAGCTGGAAGCTTGGGAGACGCGCATCTATCACCTGCTGGGCAGCAATGCAGGATGGCAGAGTGGCAGGGACAGGGCCTCTCAGACACAGCATTACCGACAAGTCGCCGACAAGGACTGTGAGCTGGCACTGACCCACAAGCGATCATTGCCCGCTAATCCGCATGCTTGTTTGGCAGTCCTGGCTTGCAGCGCCTTGCCTCAATGTCGGGGCTGTAGATGGAGAAGTCTGGGACGTGCTGCCTGTGGCAGCACCAGCTGTGACGTGCAAGGAAAATGGCAGTTAGTCTGGGGTACAGGCCCAGCGGCGCCAAAAACACCGACCATGTCCCGGCGCAAGACATCCTGGGCACAAACACGTGCACCGTTCAGTCCTGTGCTGTGGCCCAGTGGTGTAGGGACGTGAAGGGTCTAAAGGCTGTGGACGAAGAGGCATGCGCCACGTTGGCTCAAAGCAGTTCGGGAATCAACTTTGGATGTTCCTGATGCCGTTCAAAGGCTTTTTCCCTTCGCGTGCAATCGCTGAGCTGCGACCCTCAGAGACCAGCAAGAAGCCCGCACTGCCCTGGCAAGTAGACTGCAAGCCTTCGACTTCCTGCCACTCCGTCACGCCAAAGTTTTCTGACAGGGCGTCGCGCCGGTAGAACTCTGACTAGAGTTGCTAAAGTTTGTTCTGTTAGGATGTAGACCTGAACATGCGCTCTGAACCAAACTCCGCCCAGCGACGGAATTCAAGACGAGACGATTCCTACAACGTTGAACATTAACTTTTGCTCCAGCGGCTTCTTGCAGTAGAAGCAGCCGTCATTGAACGCGATTTAACAATTTAACCTCCCCGAGCCCTGGGCTTCTTGCTGACACTTCACTTACGCAGTGTCAGCGGCTGTCTTTGAAGAGTGTTGTTCGCTCTGGCAGCCGGCAATCGCTACGTCCCTTCTGCCGCCAGGTCGTGCAGTAGGCACTGAATATGTGCAACCAGTGTACCACAACTGTGTTAGGTGAATTCATAACTGCGACATGATCAGCAACCGCAGCAGAAGTGTCTCCAAACAGCGACTGTGCGCCTGAATTGCTTCAGCACCCAGGAACAAGCCTCAAGGACGTTGCTCCGATGTTGCATTCTACGTGTCATTTTTGGCGTCAACCGACCAATCGCACTCGGTAAGGTCCACGGGGCTCCTCGGTGCAAAGGATCGAGGCAGTTAGAGGCCGAGACCGGGACATGGGGAGTCTAAACAATCAGCTGTGGGCGTGTGACATCAAAACTGTCGTCTGTCTCTGAGTCAAGCAAGAGGCCACGTCCGGCTTCAACCTGTGCTCAGATGAACAGGATCACACTGGCCGTCACCAGCCTTTTCACTTGCTATATTGCCTTGCCACAAGACCGCTCGGCAGCTCAACAGCGAGCTCCAAGGGGCGCCAACAGGCTCTAACCATGCCACGTGACAGCTGTCCGCGCTGCTCTCGAACAACAACCCTTGGCTGAACAGGGTTTTCGGGGATGTCATTCATTTTCCGTGTAGCAAATAATAAACGAAAACAAACAGAAGACCTCCGCTGCTTTACCACAAGCGACTTTCTTCGATCGTCAGCCAAATCTCACACAGAGAACGGCAAACACAAATAACGCATCAACCTGGCGCTTCTTGACAATGCTGCCATGCTCTCGCGCAGCTGCAGGTAGCTGCTGGCCCAAGAGAAACATGCTGCAAGTTACGCTGAAGCGGCTCTGCCAGCGCCAAGCGCTTCACGACAGCATGAGTTGCTGGCATGGCCTCTCGCCTTCGACCAGGGAGCGCTATTCCAGGTATTCCCATAACATGGCTTGACATCCAGGCACTGAATGCATGGAAGCAATGCCGACCACTGGCGACTCTGCACTAACGAACCATGAGAGTGTAACATTCCTTTTTTACGGTTGTGGCTCTGGGCATCCCTCCAACTGAAATAAAAGGGAATCAGCACGAACGAATGTGTAAATCCAAGGCACCAGCCATCCCCAAGTTTCAGTTCCAAGCGCGGAACTTCGCTGGGTCAGCAGGTCCTGTTGTTGATTCAGGACAAGCTGTAAACAACGAAGAGGCCTGATGTTGAAAATCTCAGACAGGCCTCTCCGCTCGATTCTATGCGACCTAGGCGCTTATGTACTCCCCGGCGCTGAACGAGTGCAAGAAGGGCGGTCTCGAGGGCAGTGTCAAGGTTGGCTTTCTCGGCTCGGCCCCGGCCTGCGGAAAGCGCATGCCATCTCTCCACTCGACAAGCTCAGCCACAGCCACACATAAGCAATGCGTCTGCCTTCGGTAGCAGATCCCTTCTTCACAGAATGCCTGCAGGTCTTCATGGCATGAGGAAGCCCGCAGACAACTGTTGATGGCCAGCGAGATTGGAGGCAGATTTTGACACGGTCGCAGCACGGAAGTGCAAGAAGCAAGCTTCTAGAAAAACATGAATGTTCAGAATTCTTAGTGAAACTAGAATTTACCCGCAGAAGCACAGACGAGCCTACCTGCTGCGAAGCGGCTTAGCCATTGGAGCTGCTTGGCAGGAGGCAGTTAGTGCCACGAGCTTTCAGAGCACGCGGCCGAGTTTGGCCGGGCATGGGCTGCTTCTCTTCGGAAATCAACCGCAGGACTTTGAGACATGTATTACTTAGAGCCTCATAGGCCTCATCTCACAAGATAAAGAGCTGCCAATGTCAGCTTATGTAGACGGAAATCATCTCGTCGTCCGGTTCCTTACAGCAGCATGGTGGATGACAGAACGTGCACGTGACCTCGATGAAGCAGCTGATAGCTTATGCTACATTTCGCTTCAGTTCTGGTGGTTATGAACTGTCCCTCTCTTCGTACTGGCGACAGGCATCGCGCCTTGTCTGAGCACAGAGTCCCCATCCCACCTCGTCTCGGCCCACTCCTAGACCCTCAGCCAAGGCCAAGTCTCTTCGTCCACTGCCGAAAGCTCCTCGCAGCAGAAGCTCTTCTTGATTCGACTAAGCTCTGACAGTCCATCCCTCCGATTCTGCAAATCGATTCTGGCGGTTACTGTCACTCGAAAGCCGAGATCTTTCCTGCAATTCTAAGATCCTCCAGACCGAGAGTGGCTGTCTGAGTCTTGCGCGAGTGCTCCGGACTTGTTGGCAGGATCCATAAACGGAACCCTAATGCATGATTCGGCTCGAGCGCTGAACCATCCGGCCACGAGAATGGTACAGTATTGTTGCGTTTGATGCCCGGGGTTGTAGTGTTCTGCACATGTGTCGGCTGCTGCATAGACCCAGCTTCAGATTGGCCGAAGCCTTCCGCACCTTCGTGACGCAGCTAGAGAGAAACCTAGACCAATGGCCTATTACCATGCTGAATCTCTGAAAGCCTCTTCCACAGTGTGCTTTTGGCTGTCCTGTGCAGGATCGAGTTTGGCAACCAGTGCTGGAGGTGCGCAAATTTCGACGGCGAGATCCACGGCAGTCCTGGGCAGGCGCGTTTGCAGCAGAATCGGAGAATGGGGCCAGAGGACAGGAACACACATTCCCTTTCTTGCTTCCAAGCGGCTTTCCACGAGAGTTCCGCAGGTCTCGGCGAGCCCCAACGGCGAGCAGTGCATAAGTAGCTTCGAAGGCGCCGCAGATTACACTGAACCTGCAATCTGGCATGACACCCAAAAAAAAGGGACTGCGGCCTTTCCGAAGTCAAAGACTTTCTGTGCGACGAGAGGCATTAGCGGGGTGGCCCGTCTGTGATGGAAAGCCAGCTCCCTCAAACGTGTGGAAGCACCCCCCACCCTGTGGGAGAAGCTGGCTGCCTTGCACAAGGTCCAGAGGAGCAAGTACTTGGTCTGCAGCAGCTCAAGCCGCTCATTCACATCGGCTTGGGCCTCGAAAAGAGTTCTCACTAAGTGGCCGGAGCCACCGCCCAGAAGAAAGGCGAAGTGCAAGCTGTATTGGAGGTCTTGTTTCGGAAACTGCAAGAGTATCTCACTGATGGCTTCCAATGCGCCCGCTGAACAAGCAAGCTGGAAAGCACTCTGTCCAGTGATCGCCAACATCTCAGCATTGGCTCCGGCTTTGACGAGAATCCTTACGCCCTCGGCATTGTTGGAGATACATGCCCAATGTAAAGCGCTTTGCCGGCGACCATCCCTAACATTAACCGCGGCTCGAGCACTCAAGAGCACCTGCATGACCTCGTTGCTTCTGAAGCAGGCACTGAGGGAAAGAGCTGTCATCTTCTTTGGAAACTGTGCCTCCTTGGTACCCTTCTGTGTACACTCGTTCGCATCTGCCCTGCGTCTCAACAGCTCCGACACCACAGCTGAGCTGCCATTCATAGCAGCATAACACAGCGGTGACCATCCAGCTTCATCTATCTGCGTGACTGCCTCAAACCCGTTCTGGTGCATGAACCGTGCAAGCGCAAACGCCTCAGGATTTACAAACGGATCCTGGCTCGGATTGAAGCCTGGAATTGCCAAGTCGACTGGGTCGATTTTGAAGTTCCGAAGACGTGTTGCTTGTTGGTTCAAAATGAACCGGTAGTTGTGCAAGTCGCCCTCTCTCAAGCAAAGAAGCAGCTTGTTCCAAATAAGCTGCACCACAATGCTGGCCACTTTGTGGCTGTCCTCTGTCACGGTAAACCGACCTTCTCCTGGAGAATACAAGAAGGACTGAAATTCTGGCAAGAGGGTCTGGTGTGTGGCGCTCTCCACAATAATCACAAATCCGGATGAGGGGGCCAACTCACGAGCCATGCGCTCTGCTCTGCACCATCCTCGCGGACGAGTTTCAAGGCTCATTAGTTACCAGTAAGGCTCGTTAAGGCATCGAGACTTGGAAACGTACTTGCGACAGGTGCAGCTTGCGGGGTTGGTTTGGGCACAAGGACTGAGTGATTTTTCCTTTTTCGTTTGATTGGGATCTAGAGGCCGTTCTGGCGTCCTCGCTGAGCCCACGTCCACTGGCTCAAGATCTCTGAGCGAGACTCGTGCTTGAGGGCCGGCGAGAGAATCATGAAGTAGAGGCATCTGGCCACATAGCTTGGAATGCTGTTGATGGCCCTGAGCTGGTCAGCCTGTGATTTTTGAGGACAGCTGAAATAATCATACCATAGGAAGAGAGGTGTCGTTCTCAGGTCTCTCGCCGATGGGGTGGGCGATTGGCCATAGAAAATCTCGGTGACAACGGAGGTTGAGATGCGGCTGCGATCTGCCAAGAGGTTCTTCAAGGCATCCTGCAACACCTTCAGCTGTTGCCCGTCTGGATCGGGATGGTGAGTGCTGAGCCACTGGTGAGACACGAAAATTGCCTTCCCCATGCTTTCGTCGAAGTCCACCAAGACTCCGGCCTCAAGCAACTCCTCAAATGCCTGGGGGGACCGCAGGCGAAACATGCATTGGAGGGGCTTTGTGGGGAAATTTTTTCAAGTTGAATCCAGCCTGGACTCGAGCTGCTGTCATGTGTAGAAGAGTTGAAAGAGGCACGGTGTACATGGGAAAACATGCCAGGCATCGGAAGGCTGAGCTGTTGCTCTCCTCCGCATTCGCCTGCACTGTTGCAGCATGGAGCTCCAGCGGGCTCGTGGATCGAGGCTTCTGTGGGAGGCACGACATTCCTCTTTTGAGGACGGCCAGCCCCAGACTCGAGCCACGGCAAAAACAAACGCCTCACTTCTCTTCTGCCTTGGTATGCTCAGGTGCAGTGCAGGAGCTGGCCTGTGACACCTACGACCTACGACCTAAGAAGGTGCACATCGACATCACACCTCGGCGGTTTTCGCCCTTTCGCCCCTGCGGCCTTTGGAAGGAAGAGGCGGAAGAGGCCGAAGGCCGCTTCATGGAGGCCGAGAGGCCGGGGGGCCGGCCGGGCGGGCGGCTACCGCTACCGCTACGACTGTCCGGCTCGCGGCCATGCCCGAACTGCCTATAGTGTTTTTTTGAGAAGACCTGGCATTGCCATGGAAACACAAAGTCGACTCACGATCACTATCCTGTGGAGGAGACCAGGTGGAACCAGTTACCTCTGCTCTAAATGAAGAAGCCTGGCCACTCAAGCAACAGAAACGGCAAAAGACGTCTGTATTCGAGCGGCGTATCCCGAAAAAACCGCATCGCGACAGTCTGCAGCAAGTCGATGTCTGCAGCGCTGCTGCTAGTGGTTCTGAGGGTTGTCTGTCAGTGTGCGACGTGGCTCTCCGGATGCTCTCTTCGTCATCGGGGCCCGTGCAATTGCACGACCGACATTCAGGCGGTATTCGTTTCCCACCTGGCATGGCGCAGGGTCGTCTTCTACATTCGCTACCCGACTAGGGATGCAAACTGCGAAATCAACTGACACAACTCCATCCGATCCATTCTCTGAGCCTACCGCCTTGGGTTTCTTCTCCAGCGTTGTCCCACCCTGAAGCAGGGAGTAAAGGAAACGATGCCACTGCCCGGAGCTTCTGCAGCTTCTTCGGACAGGCTTCTTGAGCGGCTTGAATTGTCAACAGATGTCGAAAGTCAGATAAAGGAACCCTCCATCTTTCGTAGGGGAAGTATGGGAGAGTTCTTGCGCCTCGGCAGTACGCACCACGGATCGAGGCCCTCGAGGGACATGAGGACGGAGGCCCTGCGAGGCCGCAGCAGAGCCATGAGCAACCAGCATAAAGCGGCTTGGAAGCCACCTACCCTTAAAAACAGATGGGATGGACAGTTGTGCGACTTTCTCTATACTCATGGCAAAGGCAAGGGTAGGCAAATCAAGTGATGGCTCTTGAGCAAGCTTAAGCCGCGCACGCTTCCAGCAACGAAGGCGAGGAAGCCCTGACACAAGGCCTGTGCAGATGTGTGTCCCCACCGCCGTCAGCCCAACTCCTGCTCAAGCTGGGGCCCTGTCCACGAGCCCCAAAACTGCCGTCAAGTGGAAGCACCTGAGCCCAAACTGTGGGGAGTATGAAGGCCCAGCAACAAGCTGCTAATCCGATCCTTTTGCCTGCGCTGGGCTGCGGACAGCCGAATTCCTCGGCAAGGCAAAAGCTCCAAAGCAAAAGATAGTCAGATAGGGCCAGCTAGGGGCCCCCTGTGCGTAGTCCTCACTAATGTCCAAGGTCGCACAATGTCACACATCACGTGGACTAACCCATGGCCACAATCCAACTGACGTTGTGAAATTGGCAACGCAACATGTTCTCGAGAGGCGGCTGGCCTTCATGAAGGGAGCGCTTAAGTCAGTCTTGTAAGGCTATATAGTAATATAGTCCAACTGTTCAGTGCGCCTCGATGAGAACTGCCCGAAGCTGTGCTTCCGGCCATGTCGGACCTCGGTCTTACTGTCGTCTTCCGGTCCGAAAAGAGCAGACTTTGGCAAGACAAATTTCAGCCGGGAATGGCAGAGCAATTGCAGCGGATTGGGCATTTGAGGAATCGTACACTTCTTACTTGCTTCAACTGCCTGCCTCTGAACTTTGCCAACCCTCGGCTCAGAGCCCGGCAAGGCGCTGCGCGTTCTACAGCACGTGGAAATCGCGGGGTGCTACAGATGATGCTCGGCAAGCTTGTTGTAGCAAGTGGCGCGTTTACATCGCAGTAAGAGCTTGATTGTTGACCTGGCAGGCTACCTTGAGCCGCTGGAGGCTTCGCTACGAAGAATCACAAGCGGCCAGCACAGGCCAAGAAAGCACCGACTGAACTCTCAGTTTCACTGCTACATCTTCTGGCAAACCTCCCAAAAAGGTACTAGTCCGGACGAGTATTTCCCTCTGCTTCTGTTGAGAGGCATCGGTCGCGGTTGCGCCCTCTTACGTCATCCCCGTCCCTGTGGGGCTAAAGTTACGCAGCCACTAGAGCCCTAGAAGCGATGAAGTGTCGCATATTCCTCGAACACGGCGGGCGACGAGCGGTCAACTTTTGTGAAGCTCGGCTCGCTGGACTGCTTGCCGACGCGAGAAGCAAGAGGAAGCCAGCTGTCACATCGTAGCAGTGGCAGCTGGTCCTGGTAAATTTCGCTATGCAGGTTCAATTGCGCGGCAAAGAGGAATGCCTCCTGGAGAAGTTCTTGCACGATTGGACATTTCCGGAATATCTGCGCTTTGCAGACGACTCTTCTCCCGGAAATTCCCGTGGAGCCGCTGGCATAGCCATCTCCCAAGCAGCCTTCAAAATGACTGTCGGAAAAGCAGCTCAGACCATCGAGGAGGCAGCAGGAAGTGGACAAAAACTCTTCAACACAGAAGCTCATCCGGCATCCCGATCGAAGTTCTCAATCTCTGGTCCGGGGCGTTGAGTTACGGTCAGCTAGGGGGAGACCCGTTTCTGCCGGTACAGTGAGGTAGAAGGCGCAGCCCCGAGGTCGGATCGTGATGTTACACTTCCGACAATTCTGTCGCTCAGCCAAGTAGTGTAGTTCACCAGCACGCGCGACCCGAAGCAGAAAGGATCATCTTGCCATGTCAGGAGGGAGAACCCCATGTTCGGGCCCATCCTCAGCTCGCAGTCGTTGCACATTTGCATCTCAAGGTTGCAGCGGTTGCCGACAGCCTTCAGCTCTCGACTCCAAAGCTTATAGAGCTTTCCAAGTCCAACCTGAGTTTCGCAATAGTCTGGGATTCTGCGGCCTGCTGCACCATGTCCTTCGGTGGGGTCGCAGGGGTGGCACATCCACACGTTCAGAACATATCCTTAGCATCGGAGCAGCGCAAGGATTCGAAGTGCATGCTCAGAAAGAAAATGCCAAACGTGCAAGGGGCCACATCCGAAGAACAACAGACTCTCAGACAAACCCCCAGCGCTTGCCCAGGAACGCGGCTGGTCTCCGTTGTGAGTGACGCTATGAATGAAGGTGTCGTCGAAAGTGATCACCTGGCCTTCCACCCACCGAGTCGTCTCCTCGGCTGCAGCTCCGACTTTACGGCGACTTTACAGGTTTCAACATCTGGACGCTGGAGTGGCGACGATGTCCTTCTGTAGATGGCAAAGAGTCGGACCCCACAGACATATACACCTCGCCATCCGGGACGAGCAGGGCCAAGTGAGCCTCGACTGACACAAGGGCAAAAATAGCCGCTGCGCTGCCCCAGAAATAAAAACACAGTTCCAAGATGTTATCCAAAAGGACCAAAAGGACCGAGTTTGCGGGGGACCGTTGTGCAGCAATCGTACAAACACTTGATGGAGGACAGTTGGTAAGACCTGCTTTTGACTACTGCCCCTGGCTGCCCCGACAGCCACCTGTAGCGCCATAGGCTATAGGGCATCATGGGGGATCCCCACTGGATGAGCCGAGTCACACTCAGCCTCGGCGCACCACCAAAGTGTGGCTTTAAACGGCCTCTCGCTGTGGCACGCAGTAAGAGGAGGGCAGAAGAATGCTAAAACATCTTCGAAGGACAAAGGCCAAGTTGAGCCTTTCAGCTCAGAGAGCTGGCCTAAACTCAGCTCGCTGGGCAACCTGGCCCATCTGAACGGCATGCGACGGATCTCGTCAAGCTTTCGTTCACAGTCTTCTAAGAGCACCAGCCAGTTCTCTCGGAAATGCGATGAAACATCTGCATGGACACGTTTCTTTGACACCCTTGTGACGACCGAAGTTTGCGCCTCCTGGTCGCATCCGCAAGAAGCCCGATCCGGAGAGACCTGAGTGGCATTCCTTAGCTGCCCGTGGGAGGCATGCTCCCTTCGGAGTTGCAGATCTTCCCGGCCGACGCAGCCAAACTCAGAGACATCCAAGCGTCGGCGAGCTCTGGCCGAGTGCGAAGCAAGGCACAAGTCCTCGGCTTGGACATGGTCGTGACTCTTTGGATCATCCTCGACTCCTCGAGTCTCTTGTAAGGCTAGGAGTAGAATGGGGGCCTGGCCCAACCCAAGTCTCCGAGGCGCATGAGCGCACACCATCTCGTTGAACTCAGCACCGCGCACCAGGTAAGCAGTGAGCCAGTCGTCATCGCGAGGCCCAAACTGAGGCTCGGCATTCCGAGTGGCCTTGCAGCTGAGGTGCTTGCAGCTAGTGGGCAGTGGGCCTGCTAGGCTGGCAATGCCTGATTCATCAAGCTGAAGCGGTGCTCCTCACCGAGAATTGTCAACCTAAGTGGATCGCGCCGCGCGATCGATTTTGGAATCTGCATCACGCATTGAATCATAGAAAGTCAAGAAAACGCGCCGGGGCACAGTTCGGCTTGGATGGTCGGAAAGTTTTCCTCCAGGAAGGAGACAATCGGGACCTGCCAAATCCATAACACGACAACATGGAAGTAAAGGAATCGCACGGAGAGTCTGCCCAAAACCCACCTGCTCTCTGGCATTCTTCCAGATAGGGCCCTGATTGACCACGGACGCCTTCGGTGCTCAGGATATGCCACTACTAACGCCAGCGCCGCTCAAACTTTCCGCGAAGCCGAGGGGCAGGGAAGTAGTCGGCATTCAGACTGATGTCGTGAGGCGAGGTCAGCTTTCCTGCGGTCTCGCCAGAGTCGTGCTAAAGAGCTCGCTGGCTACTGCAGCCTTTATCGGCTGGACGCACGGACATGATGGCTTCAGAAGTGTGACTACGGTACTCACTGCACAGCGTTCTGTATCCCGCAGCCTGCATGCGGGCCAAAGGCAGGTAATTGCCGCATGACTTGGAAGTATCTTTGAGCAGACTGCAATACTTCGGTGGCTGCACGAACATCCAGCTGGACGACCGCGAGATACCTGCCCAGCTCGCTTGCAATCCTTGGTCATGCTTCGGGGCTTCTCGGCTCTTTGTGAAAGATTCATTGGCCCTTCCGAGTTGGCTTCCATGCTTTCTGCAGCGCAATAGGCAGCTTTCAACCGAGAGACATTAGCAAGTACCGCCATCGCATGTGGCAATTTCGCTGATAGAAATCCTGCCTCAAGGCCAGAAAGTGGCATGTTGCGGTTACAGCCCCGTCCAGTTCCTGCATGCTTCTTACACAGGCTAGAATCGCATTTCTTGTAGTTGAGGCTTCCGGCTTAGCTTCAAGCTTGCCGCAGGCATTGGGTTTGCTTGGCTTCGAAGCCATGTTGCAGTGGAAGATTGGGATCCACGCAGCTGTTGAAGCTCAGCGATGTTGCAAAGAAGTCGCAGGCCAGACGGCCAGTCACAATGTTCACCTCGCAAGACTCCGAGGGGGAAAATCCGCAAATCACCGAAGCTCATTCCCCAGTCTTCCCGAAGGCCAGGACTGTCGGAGGCGAAGCCAAGCACGGCAAAAACAGGACCGCAGAGCCGAGAAAGGGGCCGAGTGGCTCGGTCGCTCCCAGGCCCCTCCCACCAGAACCAGGAGTACAAGGACATGGCCAGCGCATGGGCCATGGAGGGGTGCTTGTACCTTGGCGGCAGACGCCGGGGCAGCTTGAGCCTTCTTTTCTTGAAGTAACCCTTGAGAGCAGAAAAGCTCTCCAGTTCAGCTTGGGTGCCCGTGCCCTACGAGCCTCCACATTTGCTCTATCAGCTGATCCCATCTCTCAGGATCGAAGCCTCCTTGATGCGAAGACAGCATTCCCCGGAGTGGCTACCCGGAAGCTCCGCTAAGACAGGCATAGACGACCTCCTAAGAATTGTAGATTGTAAGGCTCAAGACGTGCCAATACAGCTTCGGATGTCCTCTAATGTCACGGCACTGGAGGCCCCCGTCATCAGCATGCTGGCAATCTGCAGATTGCACAGCGGAAAAGAATCCTCGCTCGAAGAGCCTGCACATGGCATCAGAAGCCCCTTCTTTGCAGTTTTTTACACAGAAGTCTAGATCTAGACTTTTAGATTTTAGAGGCGCTTTTCCTGACCAGGGCCAGGGCACTTGTAGATGGGCTGGTCATTCTGCTGGTCATCTGTCCCAGAAAGCACCAAGCCATCCAGTGCGAACGTGGACGGATGCGCACCCTGTGGCTGGGAGCGCACCTGCCTCGGTCTGGTCGGGCTACAGCAGCACCGGTGTCGCACAGTAGACGAAGCAAGCGATGCGAAAGACAGAAACTCATGATCCGGAAGCTATGGCTCCTCTTAGCAAGATCCTAGGCCCCGTGCCTACAGTAACTTTGACAATAACAGCCAAGGCACGAGCACAGCAGCACCGAGAACCAAGCCAGAAGCTTACGTTGATGCATTTGGCATGGCATGGCGCACACAACTGAAAGCAACTTAATTTGCGAACTAGATGGGTCGTCCTGGTCTTCCACGGGACTCTTAGCGGTCTCTTTGACAACAAGCAATCTGACAAGACTCAATTTCTGGAGGTTTCTTGTTGAAGCTGCAGCTGCACCGGAAAGCGTGGCTTCAAAACGCAGTCTGCAATATGCTGGAAGCCGTGTCAATGCTAATTTTCCGCGTCTGCAGAAGTCGACAAAGATCAGCTCCAGAGCACTCCGCGAGAATAGCGAAAACACACAAAGACTCCAGCTGGAAGCAATTTCCACTGAGCAACTATGAGTAAGCTTCCCTGCAGCTGCAGGTTGCAGAGTCTTGTTGTGCACCCGTGTCCTATCTTCGAAGGCAGCACATCAACTGCGACTGTTCCATGCTAAGTAACAGGCCAGAGCTCGTCCTGAAACGAGGCTTGCATACTGTTTATTTACAGGCTGGCAGATGCGTCCAATTTAAAATGCTCTGTGTACTTGTCGCGGTGTCGGGCACAACGCGGCACGGGCTGCCAAGAGATCTCTCACTAGTCGTCGTGGTACGCCAGCCAACCACCAGCGGCGGCAGTGAACTCCTTAGACGGACTAAGTTGAAACATCGCCTGTCAACCGACTTCTAACAGCTCGTGTCGAAGCCTGTCCAAGCATGTCGAAGCAGGAGCACGCCTTGGCCAAGTCTCTGTGAGGCCACAAGTGGCATGGATCCACTCGTCAGGCAGAAGCAACATCTCACCAGGTCCGGTCACACATGTCAGTGTACCTGACATCGGAAGGGGTGGAGCGTATACGTGCTTGGGCAAATGCACACGGACACGCCGTCTGCATCACACGAGCACAGAGCAACACAGACATATTTAAATATGTGTGCGTGTGTGTGTGTGTGTGTGTCTGTCTGTATGTCTGTCTGTCTGTCTGTCTGGCTGGCTTTCTGTCTGTGTGTCTGTCTGTCTACATGATACTGCGTATATATATATATATGTATAGATATAGATAGTATATATATATATATATATATGTTCATGCGTGTGTTTTTGCGTGCGTGTACAAATACAACTATACATGTACACAATATGGTTTGGTGCTCGTTGCCCGTCTGCTGCAATCTCGCTCGCGAACGAGCAGGCCTCCTGTGCTTTGTGTATAACATCCAAATACATCCAAAATTATCCTAATTTAGTCCGCATTGTGATCACAGCACCTTCCGCGCAGACGGGCCTGGTGGCGGCGTCGTCTGCTTCAGCATCGCGCAGGCATTGGGGTACTGGAAGGCCTTGGATTTCGAGTGCGACTGCCTCCATGGGGCACAAGGAGCTGGCATGACATTTACAGCCCTTGCAGCAACTTGTAGGAATGCATGTTGTGAGAAATTTTCACTGCTTGCAGCATGCAGGCACCTCGCCACTAGGGAGCAGTGGTGCCGCACCCCACTTCTGCCCACCCTCCTCGGTTGCAATATGTAATACATCTATCAGTCTTGCTTGGAAGCGTCTGCAATATCATGAGCTAGTTCTGAAATCCACTCATGCCCTGCTCGCAGGTCATGTCCATTTCTGCACCAAGTTTCCGGCCAGGTGTCCTTAATCAAAGTGCGAGTCAAAACAAAAATCTTGTGCAACCGCGCCCATTCTGGTATGGACAAGGTCTGTCGGTGGCTGTTTTCGTGCTCTTTACTGCACATGCTACAGAACAGCTGGCATCGCAGTCTGTGTGCAAAGTACATGACATAATCTTTAATTTCTGACTACATGCGAGGTGCGCTGGAGACATAGTTGGGTGGAAGCAGCCACCACCTGGGCCAAACGTTTCTCAATTGGCAGATAGTCACCAGACCACAGAGAAGAAACATGGAAGCATCCCGATTAGCGACCCCGCTGGTTTAGCGCTTCAGGATGTCGTGGGTGTACGGGGAAACCTGCGTTTTTCTTGGGCTTTGGAGGAGTATGGGGCTTTGGAGTGTAAAGTGCAGCAGGCAAATCGGTCAGTATTTGCAACGGGCAGGGGTTTCAGGTGTCGGGTACATTGCCAGGCCCAGCATATTCGAAGGACAGACAGCAGCGAGTATGTGTTACGCGCGTGGGTCACTCACAGTGACTCTAGCAGGACTCTAGCAGAAACATCGGGCGTTGTGGGCACAGGCTGACGCTTGAATGCTTCCCAAAGGCTGCAGAAGAGGCTAAGCTGCCGAGTCACTGCTTGAAGCCTTCAACCTGAACGTTCCAAACTGGGTCGTGGCTGTGGAAGCCGTGGGAGCTTCCTGACATATCTTAGGCTTGGATGGCTCTGTTTTCAAGTGGATCATGCCATGAGGGTACCGTCTCGCGGACCTCGGCCTTGTCCTGAAACGTGCGAGCTGGAACAGGAAGCTGGAGTCACAGGCATGCGCAAACGTGTCACCGCCGTTTGGCGCATCTCATGATCATTTTCCATGCGTGCAGCTGTTAAGTGTGTGATCCTTTCTCACTTTCGCAGATGTTCGGCATATGTCCTGTGGGTGTTGTTCAGTCATCTCCCTTCTTCCCCGTTGCATCTCTTCTCTTGCGTTGTTTCTCTCTGTTGCCTGACCGAGTGGTCCCTCCACAACGGGCGAGCAGCACAAACACCACACCCAACGACCATCATGTAAGAACCTAACATCATAGACACACCCAGTGGATAACAGTAGCTACCAGTAGGCTCACCCGTCATGTGGACAACCCCTGTAGGGTGCTTAATCTTTACCGGTCTTCACTGGCAATGGGTTTTTCGAGCAATCTGGAATGGAAATAGTGACCTCTCTGCCCACCTTGATATAAATTTCGACTTCAAGGAATGACGACAGAGTGACTTGATCTGCACGTTCAATTTACCGTTTTGGCTTGGAAGTCATGCCGCCGCTTGAAAAGTCTTGATGTCCCGACCGACTGCCGTCACTGAGCTTGAGGGGTCCGTCCGCTGCTCCACGCGGGCTCAACTCAAGGAGATCAATCTGCGAACATCTTCTGCCGACTGCCCACTTGCACAATATGCTGGTCGTTGGACTCTTTGAAACAAATTTCCGCGACCCCCTCCCTTCTCATCGCAGATCTGCGGCACTGTTGAACTACCAACGTCGTGTCGGCTTTACCTGCTGCTGCCCCCTTGTGAATCTCCTGCCACTCTTCTTCATGCCCTGTAGTGGAATGAATTTCGACACTGCCTGCAATTTTCATGACTTTCTTACTATATCTAGCCCTTTCTGGCTGGAGCTATTCCTGCAGTCTCACCCTTTCCTGAGAGCCTTGGAAGACCGGAAGAGTTGTCGAGCCTTGGGAATCTGTGGGCGGTCTCTTCTTCATGGGACTTTCGGACTGCAGTTTCCCTGCTCCCGCAATGAATTTTGACGAGCAGCATACGAGCACATGCCACACTCCGCCAGCCCCAGACCCCACCCTCGGCCCGCACCCAAGGTCTGCATGGGGCGGTGCCTACGGATGGCACGCGTTCGAAATCGTGTATGAATGGCAACATATGTATGTATATGTAAATATATGTATACATACATATATATATATATATGTAAGACTCTTTCCTGCTTTCTTGCTCTGTATACCATATACTTTGTTGGATTGTGCGGCTGAAGGTTGGCATAGGGCATAGGGAGTCAAACTGTCAAACAATGGCATCTGTGCATAGCGGCCCATCCCGTGCAAATATGTTCGCTGCTGCCAGAGACTCCCTGCGCGTCGATCGCCACAATGGCCATGCAATCCTGCCAACTGCAAAGCACAGCATTTTCTAAACTGGCACCCGAAGATTTTTTGCATCAGGACTTGTGCAATCTGGTACCCAAAGCTAAACACCGAACACCCTCAGAGCCTCAAAACCCCTGGCCCAGAATCCATGAGCATGTCGAACTAGCAACGAGCCCTTTACCACTGGCGACCTTGGTCCGATAGAAGACATAAAATAATAATGAGAGAAGAATAATAATAAATAGTATCCATACGAATAAGACTCACAATCATACGAATGGTACTGACTCTACTACTACTACTACTACTACTACTACTACTACTACTACTACTACTACTACTATCACTCCCGATTCGCGTGGGCCGTAGGGGTTGGGCAGTTGCCACTTGCGTCAGATCACCCGTAACGAGTGTTCCGACATGAGTGCATGTGGAAGTTTGCTTGTAGCCATTGATGGAACAAAAGTGCATGACCAGCTTTTGCACGAGCTACAGTTCCTGAGGCGTCTCATTACTTTTTGGGACGCTGTGCAAAGTTGCCATGGGTGACAGCACAACAGCACCGGGTCAGTCTACCTGGACAACGGAAGATTGATGCTGACAGAGGCTACTCGGAGATTCCTGCAACAAAGAGAACCCCCAAGCAAACAAGCAAATTAGCCCTAGGGGCTTCAAAGCCCACAACCCCGAGCAGATTGACGTATGGCTTTGTGTTCTGCCTCCGGGCCAAAGGCAAAGTCAGGGCTCGGAGCAAACCTCGGATATTCTTGTGACTATTCAGATGACTGCGATCATGGCTGTCCGTACCATTACTATCCTTGTCTGGTCATGATTGCAATGAACTAGCAAACTACTCCCACTACCACTGCGACTACGACGACGACTCTGTACTACTAGCTTATTGCTGTTGCTATTGGCGTTCAAGCTGTGGAATCCAAGCGCGGTCTCGCTTGGACTGAAAACTTTCCGCCTTGTGCTTGGGACCTCACAGACCCACATGAATGCATTTACAAGGGCCCCTACTGGCTGCCCCAGGGGAGATTCCAGAAAACCCCTTAACAGCGAGATCTGGGAGCCCTCATGTTTGTGGTCCCGTAGATGTAGTTGTCTTATGACCAGGTTCCGAGCTTGCAGCCAAGCACCACTCCATCATGACAACACCAATCCGAAAGTAGAATGGGTGGCTGCGCATTCGCATACGCACCCAGACCCAGACGATAAAACACCAAGTCGAGCTGAGACACACTGGCAGGATATGATACGCTATACCGGCAAACCTTTTTGCATTTCGAGCGGCTGCCGACGTATCGCATCCACAGAGTTCTTAAGCTTGGCTTCTTCGTGGCAGCCCCCCTCACTTGCAAAGAGGAAGATGTTCTGAGAGCTTTCCTCGGATACTCCCTCGCCCCCTCGGTTTGATTCTTCTAGCCAGTGGAACCCATGGGCTGTGAACTTGCACGGAAAATGGCACCTGTGCGGAAAATGGCACCCTTCTATGTTGAATGGCGAATGGTGACCAGATTCAGCAGCCTGCACGCCACCCAAATGCACAGCAATGTTCAGAAGAACCCTGTGACTGTTGCGTACTCGGCACATTGTGCTTGACATAGTCGTCCAAGGACTCCCACTGGTCCATTCCAATCAGCCACTCCGGATAATTAAATGTGAACCTGGCTTGGGCTCTACTGAGAACAAGTGTGGCAGTGCGTCAATACCCGTAAAATCATGTGCGAGATTTCCGGCAAGGCATTGCTTGCTTCACAGAGGATTGGAGAACATCTGCGACACAGCATTCACATGGCTAGAGCTCAACGGAAGGATGGACATCAAAGGGCAGGATGCCGACTGGCGTTCACTCCTCTGTCTGGGAACCCTGAAAGCCTGCCAGCAAACAGTCTGAATCTGCAGGCGGCGAGCTTCTGCCACTGCAAGGCACCCATATGCTTCGAAAGCTCCTCCCTTCCTGCGTGGGTGTTAAGTCAGAACGCGTGCTTCAGAAATCACGTTGGTTTGCAGTGAAGCCCAGTCTGCCAACATTCAACGACCTGGCCATGTGGCCAAGCCCGTCAACGCATCCACGAAGCAAACCACGACCACGACACAGCTGCAACCAAGCGTCCCCAATGCGTCGCGGCCTCCCACCCAAGCTGCTTCGGAACGTGACCGGTCACAAGCACAGGCCTTTCTCCTGCCAGCACACTGTTGAATTCGAAGTGCATGTCGTAGTTGGCCGCGAGCTTGTTTTTGGCCGTCATGTTGCCGGTGGTTTTCTCCAGCTCGGAAAACATCTCTTTCCATTGTTTGTGCACCTGATCTAGTGTCATCTTGTGAAGCTGTGGACAACGCTCTTCGAGCGATTGGTTCTTCACTTTCTCGAAGAAGGCCGCGGCATCGGCACGGTAGTCTGCGGTGTCCACGATCTTCGCATGTTCATGGTCGTGGCGATCCAAGTGGAACGGATGTTTGCGCGCCTCGCGCGCTTCGCGCGCCTCAGGGATTCTTGCGACGGACCCCTACTGGCCCCGGAGTCTCACAGGACGCTGCGTAAGTCGAACTTAGCCAAGGATCTTTGCTCCGGGAGCGCTTTCGGAATTGCGACTGCAGCAGGGATGCATCCTCCATGGGGCCTGTCGGTAGATCCATTCCATCGCCGGCTCCTGTTGAAAAATTGCAAACTCTGGATACCCAGGTCGGTCCCTTCCTGGATATGCAGTTACGATCACTCACCACACGAACGACGGAAACGAACACATCCATACGAGCCAAGCATCCGTAGCTCTGCGCATTTACGCCATAAGCTCTCCACGAAATTGATGTCCCAGCCGAGCCAAGGATGCACAAACGCGACAGGAACTTCATCACGAAAGCACAGCAGAGCTGTGCGAGGAACTAGCACGGAGTTCGGTGGCCAAGAAAGCTCTGCCACAGCCTGGCATGCTTTCGCTTTTTGAGCCACGGAAGTTGATACAGCAGCGTTCTTTCAAGTAGCTGCACATCTCTACGCTGAGCATACTCTGCTACCATGTCACCACAGTCGCAGCCTCTCTTTTCACCGGCTTTTGCTGAGCATAATGCTGAGTGTGCAAGGGCAGCTGAAGGTCCGACAGCCTCTGTAACTCTGCGGGTATCCAGGTTGACTGTCATTACCACGCTGAGGCACGCGTCAGGGTCGTTCGCAGCAAAAGGTTAGAAAAAGCTACAGAGCTGGGACTTTCGAGTTGTTGAGTCTAGTCAAGTCGAGGTCCAATCCGTGCCGGCATGAGCCTAAGCGGGTTGGGCAGCTCACTCCAAGAAGACAGGCTTCTCCTTGGATAGAGACCAGATACAACCAGACGACAGTTTGCAAAGCTCTAGAGACAGGCATTTCATTCGTGCCCTTGGCTGTTTTGCTTTACCCTGGCGCAAACGTGCAAAGCCAGCAGCAGTCTTGGATAAGCCGAGTCTCAACTTGGCAGCACTTGACTGGCACCTTCCAAAAATGCGAAGTGAGATTCGGAGGAGGCTTTATCCTTGACTTGACTCGACGAGCAGACTTGGACATTCTGTAGAACGGGGGCTTCAGATTTGCTAACCGTATTTTCGGCACGGAACTGCGACTTTCGCCGTGAGGAATCGCACAAACTGGCAACTTTTGCTTCTGATGGTAACGGAAGCCAGGTTTGGAAACAGATAGACGAGCAGTAGCCGGTAACACAAAAAAAGCATGGAAGCGCATGTCCAAGTCGTCTTCACATTCCTGCGCATGAGAGGCGCTGCCTTGTATGCCGTCAGCCGTTCCTCCAGCTCGGAGGAAGGCGGCGCGGTCGTGACAACCAATGCTGGCCGGAAGAGTTGACCTCGGCGCTCGGGACGAGTCGGGACGTCTCGCGAGCGGTTGTCCTCTCTACCTGACTCTACGAGTACCTGCCTCCTAGCTCTGGAATCCTAGGATATCCTAGGATCATCAGCTGGGTCATGACAAGGTACAAGCCCCGGCCGACACTGTCCCGAAGTCCGCGATCTCTGCCGAGGGCCCCTGGCACAATATCCAAGAAACGTGATTTCAAAAAAAAAGCTCGCAGCCGAGGTGCCATGAAGAAGAGGACGCACTCCCGAAGGTTCACCTTCGATCCGGCCCGGCCAAGTGCCAGCATCACGGCGGAGCGGGTCTCGTTCCCACCACTCTCCTCGCGCTCGTCGGCGGACGAAACCAGGAGTTCTCCGCGGGGATCAATGACAGCCGCAGTGTGCTTCAGCTTCGTCAGTTCCTCCGATATCTTGTCTACGAAGAGGCGCAGCTCCCAACTCTGGGTTAGCAATCGCGTGCTGAGCTCCAAGTCTTTGGGTGGTATCTCGCCTATGTCTGCAGCCCAATCCCAGGGGAAGCGCGTGGCAAACGTCTTCATCATGGACTGGGCGTAAGCGTTCGACAGGTTGAGCACTTGCATGCCCTCCAGCTGTTCCAGCTGACTGCCGGCACCACCGAAGCTGCTGCTCTCGGCGATGACGACGTTCCCTGGCATGGCACAGGCATGTATTGTGCCAAACGTGCACAATCCCATTAATACTACGTGAACCGCAGCGTTACTTGATGGTGACGGTTGCTTTCTGTGACCTTTTTTGCCCTGCCGAGGCACGCAGCCCAAGGCCATGAAGCCAAGTCAGTGCTGTCGTGCACATCACCTTTCGACAACTCTTGCAGCCGTGCACAGCATCTTATCCATTGGGACGAACATCTGGCAAAAGCTCGGAATGATCTTTGGAACTCTTTCGAAAATCTTGGAGCTGAGACTTGTCTCTTTGCCTGCCGACGAGCAGCACAGGGGTTGAGCGATGTCGCAAAGACAACCTTGTCCCAATTCACTGCTGACGTGTCGGTGATTGCCCGGATTGCTGCAGTCTCCTGGGTAAGGACCACACAAAGCAAGAATGTCGAAAGTGAAGAACAACGGTCCGGGCGAGTACGGCCTGCCGAAAGTCTAATACTGTCTTACCTGCATCATCCCAAGCGTCTCCGTGGTCCGTTGGGTATCCATCTGCCAGCGGCTTCTCCGCAGGGATGCGACCGTTGTGGCCAACCGAAACAACCTCCGCTTGGGAAGGTTTGTTCCTGGGGGGGTTCTTGAAACACTCGGGGCATCTAGCACCGACACTGCTCCTTTAGAGCACTGTTAGTTTACAGCCCACATAATCACCTGTCTGGAATCTGGAATAGCTAGCCTGCCGAAGCGGTCGAAGTTCTCGGGGCTATTCGAGACGAGAATCCCGAAGCTTGGCATTGCTCATGCGCTCCACGATGGCTCCCGAGATAGGAATTCTGCCATTTGCCTTTGTGCGACCGGCCAGTTGCAGAGCAGACTCCCAACGTGAAGACGCACGGAGTAGACGGTAGTTCCTATCTTGTCTTCTTTGAAGCAGGAATGCATGGAAGCAAGACACACCATAAATGGTACAACAGGCACCGGACGTGCTGTCTCCCTGGCTTCGCTTCAACTGGCGGCCATGGACCGAAGTTTTATCCACGCGGCCAGGGACTGCGACGCCCTCTCCAGAGCAAGGCGAGTGGCCTGGATCACGCAATCTCATCCGGAAGGGCCAGACGAGATGTGCTTTCTCAAGTGTTCGATATCGATTTTGATATCGTGAACCCTCTACGAGCCAATCCAGATTACGATGACGTCTGAAAATGCACTAACCGAAACTGCGACCCCCACCCACCCACCCACCCTCCAACCCTCCCTTAAACAAAAAACTAAAAAACTATGAACACAACTGCCCCGATGCAAAGCAAAACACAACACAGAAATCACTCGCTCGGCACACTCATTTCATTTCTGAGAAACCGGCTCGGGTACACTCCACGACTCTACGATGACCTGTAAACCGTAAACAAGCAGTTGGTCGTGGTGGAAGTTGGCTGCAAGCCCATCGGCTCTCACCAACCTTTTGTCAATTGGTTCTGTTCCTTTTCGGTGCAGCCTTGGACGTGATGGAATGAGTTGACAAGCCAGCACGCAACAGGGTGTTCTGGATACATCCGTTTTCGAACTCTCAGACTGACCTCGGTGACCCTTTTGCCTCGGCGCTGCGTGCTACACAAGTCGGCTACAAAAACATACTCATCCCCTCCCACTGCCGAGGCAGCTTCACGTGGCTTGACCCACCTTTTTCCAGAACGACCCCACTGAGGTCTTTACTGCCGAAGCTCCGCCGCAGCGTTGCATCCACACTCTGCTGCCCTTCCACCCCACCTCACGAAATCTCCTAAAGCCCTCATACGCCGCGCACCTTGCCTCGGTGCCTACCTGCCGAAGCTGCTCGGCGGCGAGTGTTTATGCGAGGTGTGTCCCCAGCCCCACTGCAGGGAGGGGCATTCCCCCCATCATCAGTGTGGGTGTCAATAGTGCCGTGGCTCCAGGTCATCCTCGTCCATGGTGCCACCGCTGTTGTTGTTCTTGCCTTCCTTTCTTGCTTCCAGAGCGTGCGTGTGTGTGTGTGTGTGTGTGTGGAGCTGTGTAGAATCTGCTCTGTCTGAGATCCATGGGCAACGACTTGCGACTCGAAGTGTGGGATCTCCACATGGCTCACCATTGCCATACACAAGTCTCTCCCCCAGACTGCCTCCAACCCTGCCGAGGCAAAGGGGCCAAGCTCCTCGGGCCGAGAGCTGACAGAAAAAGCCCTCAAAAACACACCATGTTCTCAGATTCTCTGCTGGCATACGGCTTAGACTCGGTGCCTCTACTTTGGGTCAAGCCTGTTCCCACTGACAGTGGGCAGAACCAGAGGCATAAGGAAAAAGCACACGCTTACCAGGCATGGTAACCACTATCATAGAATTACTTTGGCTCAAGCCATCTTAATGAAACCTAAATCCTAGACCCTACAAGCCAAGAACTTGAATCCGACCAGGTCTGTGATAGTGCAAAACGTGATGATCACGGATCTGACCTGCCTGGCCACCTATGACGTGACATGATATGAGGACATGTTGAGATGTGTCTGCGGCAAACAAAATGTGCCATGTCATATCATGGAACCCTCTATTGTCCGCTTTTGCGTTCCTTTCTCCTTCTCCCTTTGGCACATGGGATTTCTGCTTTCTTCGTCCTTTCGCATGATGCTCGGATAAAAATGGACAAGCTGAGGACCCTTGCGGGCCGGCTCCGCGCGGGTCGATCAAGTTTCAGCGCTCACAGACCAAGCTTAGTAATCACGGCCTGTCCTGCTTCAAAATCCCGATATCTGGACTATGGATTGTGTGCTCCTGCTTCTGCTCCTGCTTTGTAGTTTGTGCTATGAGAATTGTGCTCTGTCTGATGCTACTTTTTTGTGCTCAAGTTGTGTAGCTTGTGCTTCCAAATTGTGCAACTTCCAGTGCTATATTTCTGCTCCAGTTTGGTAGTCTGCGCTATCAGTGCTGCTGCTGCTGGTAGTGCTGGCTGGTTCTGCTGGCGGAGCTGCTGCTGGCCGCGCGGTGCCGGAGCGACAGGCATGAGGCAGGACAAGCAGTCTGAAGTCAGAGTGGCGGGATAGATGGGAAAGGCACAGAACGAGGAAGGGGTCCCAGAAGGCAGTGATAGGTCGGTTTACGAGTGGCTCCAGCCAGATAACCCCAAACCAGAACCAGGATTACATATTTGTGTGGTTGTGACTGTTCGGGGGCATTTTTGGACTGTGGGCCCGGGCTGCTCCCGAGGTCTACTGCACGGTCTGCAACGGAGCTCCCTGTCACACATATGGAATCGATCCAAATGCACTCATGATCAGATCAGTCCTTGAAGGCCTCGATGTCCAGACCCAACTTTTTCAGAGACCTGAACACAGCAGCACAGGCTGTGGGGTGAGTCACTAAACACCGGATCATTGGCGCTTCACTGCATGAGCCTACGTCCTCACACATGAACCAATGCATCTGTCCGCGTACTGAGGTACAGCAAGACGCTAAGGTCTGGACTTACTCGTCTGAGAGCTCTTTGCCTTCGATGCAGACGTCTTCGACGTAGCTGTCTTTGACACAGTCCTCGACGCAGACGCCCTCGCGCCCCGCTGAGCTTTGCTTGCTCGACCAGCTGATTTCGAAGAGCTTGCAACCGCTGGACGCTTTTTGGGTGCCATGCTGCCAGCTGGCGAATTACGAGCAATGTTGTATCAACCGTAGATGGAACTCGTAGTTGCTGGACATGTGAACTAGTTTGTCAGCTCGTTGGGCCAGTATTCAGCCGAGCACACTTTGAGCCATGCATCGCTGAGCGGTGGGTAAATTTTGAATGAAAGCTTTGGTTGGAAGCGGAGCGAACGGCTTCGAACTGGAAGTGGCAGAGATGCCAATAGGGCTTCTGAACACCGCATGCATCACTGACTTTTTCTGCTGGGCGCAACGCGCGGAATGACTCAGATTTCTTGAGGCTACAGAGCTGCGAAACGGCGACACACACTCAAAATGCCTCAAAACCACCCCATTGCCAGGCCCACAACACGATAACATCTTGCCCGGTAGATACTGCCTATTTAGCCCGTGCCCTATGCCCTGCATCACGACGTGCGTTGCAATCAGTGCTGTCGAGGACGCGTCGCAGGTTTTGACACCATGCGGTCACAAAACGTTGAAGTGGACAGGCTAAGTCTTGACGGCAAGACCAGAGGCCGTCCGTCCACAAGCCCAACGATCACTGTGCATGAGCTGTGAATGTTACTAAAGTCGTGCAGGAGCCAGAGCGTTGAACACTCTCTGCCAGTCCACTTCTACTCATCCACCTCACTGTCAAAGGAAGTCTGAACAGCAGCACTGGGAGGACTTGCAGATTACAAGTTGAAAGAGTCGAAACTTCATACATGTAGGACAACGCATGGCTCGGCCCGATGGCCCGATGGCATGACCGAGGCTCCCAGTGCGCTGAACGGCAGTGCCTGGGATCTCACTCCCAGGAGGCAGGTTTACGACGACTGCCTTCCAGAGCTCCTTAGCCACAGGCCGCAAGCAGGCCGCAAGACTCCGCCTATCTCCACGACATGCTCCAAACAGCAACCTAAGGCCTAAGGAGGACTGTTCTGGTCTCACAAGGAGCTTATGTCGCGTGCAGCAAGGAAGAGCTTCCCAAGTTGAGCACTACATGCAAGAGACCCGCCATGAGAAGTTGCGAAGGCAACTGCCAGAGTGAGAGCCCTGCAGGTCGTGTGCCAGCATGTCCCATCTCATTTCCTGGGTGCGGATTCTTCCAACGACAGGCGAACTCGGAACAACCTCTCGAGCTGACTTCGGAGTCCTTTCATGTCCTGTTTGTCGAGGAATTGCCGAGGCTGTGGCGGCTTGTTGCTCTTCCACGGAGGAGTCGGCCTCTGCTCCTCACCTCCCGCGCTTCCATTGCCTTTTCCACCTCAGCAGGCCGCTGGCATCTTGCGATGGGGGAGCTGGAGGTGGAGGCCTCTCTTGAATTGCGGTGCTCCTCTTCGTGATCCATGTCAATATGACTCTCTACAATTCACAGCGCTCGTGCACCAAATGCCGACTTCGACGTTGCGATGCGGGACCAATGAGCCACGCAGGTCAACTTGATTCCAAAGTTCCTGCGCACTCACTCGCTGCCTCACTGCGCGAGTTATTGCTACTCATGTGTGTGTTCTGCGCCCAGCTTCCTCATCGCCCTGCACCGAAACAGAGAAAGAAAGATCCCCTTAAAGAGGCTACCACTGCTGCATGAGGGAAATGCACAGCTTCTGAGAGCCCGACCACCACGGCGGGGCCCTTGCGTGCGCCACTCCGGATCCTCACTCCAACATGTGGGAGGAGAAGCCCGGACTGTTGCAGGGGCGATGGCCCAGCTTTGCAAGTATCGAGATCTGATCGTGCTTCGGGCCATTAGCGGCTAAATTTGAAGGTTGAAGTGAGACATGCTGGGTCGAAAAAGCACTGCCAAATCAAGCTGTACGAATAACTCAAAGCTGGCAGTCGCAGAAGCATGAGTTTTCAGGAGCTACAACTTGTGAAAAAACGACAGTCCAGTCCCTGCAATTTCAGCCACATCCCTCACAGATAAGCTGGGCTCCAAAACAGCAGCTACAGCACACGTCCCTCGTTTATTCGGTTCTGATTGCAGAAAAGCGCTCGTGACAGGAAGGCAACAAACTCACGCAAGGGGCAGAGCCTCTAGCCGTCCAAGCGTTATACAAGTTATACCTGGTACCTGAAGCCATGAAGCTCGCAAACTTTATCAGGATAGCGCTCCTCAGCGGGTGCCTCAGCGCCCCCGGCTGCCTGGCTAATTGAGATTGTGAGGCTTGTGACAAGTCCGACCTACGCCCGGACCGAATATAAATCAGGCACCTCGGAGATCCTGACTATTGTGTGCTTCTCGCGGCTCTACAAGCCCTTAAAGAAGCTCCAAGATTCCAGCCTCTTTGCCTCGAGCTCTCGAACCAGCTTGCCGAAAAGAGTCCCAAGGAAGTCCGCCATTCCACCGACTCAGCCCGGAGTGCCTTGCCACGCTTCTTCTTCCCTGCAACAACGCCCCATCCTGCACAGGAACGCTTAATTTCCGATTTCACGGCATGCCTTGATTGGCCGAGACATCGGTAGACAAGGGCTGTGCGGATAAGCTCATGCCTTCTTCATCATCGCCGCCGCCCGCGGGTTCGGGTGCAGCAGGTTCTGGGGCAGGCGCCGGGCGTTCCTGGCAAAGACGAGCTCCGGCACTTCTGGAGACCGGAAACGAAGCAGATGCAACTACGGGTACTAAGTACATGCAAAGGCGGTCCAGAATTTATGAGATTCAGAGTTGCATGATGTACCCCTACGCTCCACTTATGGCCCCCGTCTCAGAAGGTGCTGCATGCGCACGTGCACAAATGTGCCGAGGCACACGCAGACACGCAGAAAGACGCACAAACACAAACAGCCCGTGTTACGCAATCTGCCGCCTTTAGGAAACGGCAACGTCGAGACACTATTTTGGCTCCGCTGCTGTCACGTCGGTATGAGCAGAGCTGCGGCTGTCATGCATACGAGGCATACGTTGTTGATGCACTAGACCTATCTTGTCTTGGTCAGGCCGATTGGTAAATACAACACCCGAAACAGAGCATTGCGTTGCTGGATTTTTCTAAAGAGTTCATGTCAAAGCCAGTGGAGCCACTCAGTCGGAGCCCTTGGCCCCCGAGGATGCACCCTCCTCTCGGCAAGGCTGGAACTGTTGAGGCTCGAGACGATTCGCTGGCTAGTGAAAGAGCAGAAGATCCGTGACGCGAGAACTTCGAGCCTAAAGCGGAATGCAGGGGCAAGTCGAAAAGGACACAAGGCCGTCCCGTCCTCTTCCGGCTCTGGACTGCTGAGGCCTTGCAGCCTGAGCTTTTGTGCGCGCAACCAAGTGATGCAGCTTGTTGGGTGTGCTTGCGCACACCGTCACCTACCCTACAAACCTGCCTCAGGTCTTCCAATCCATCACACATGCGTCAACTCCACAAATTGAGACCAGTCGCGCACTCATGGCACCCATCCAGTCCACGCCATCGTCGTCATCATCAGCGTCCTCTTCCTCCTGCTTGTCCACCGATGCGCTGGCAGCGCTGGAAGCGCTGGCGGGCGCGGCAGTGCTGCTGGCGCTAGGCTCCTGCTTCAAAGCGCTGCACCAGATGCACGCTAAAAATCTCTTCGTGACATGTTTTGGCCAAATTCGGCCAGTGTATGCCGTCGAAGCAGAAACCGCGCTGGCCCATGTCAATCCACGGCAGTTAACAAAAACCCTTGAGCCGACCGCAAAGCTCTTGGAATGCTTGCTGTGTGTTTCTCTTCTGGTCAGCTGTGTTTTCTAGGTTAGTCGCTATGTGTACCCACAACGTATCGGCGTAACCTAGGAACACACAGCTACAAGCAGCCTCTGCGCTCGGTACCGCTTTCTTTTTCACCCACCTCCCACCCGGGGGGATGTGCTAAGCTGCTGGGACGGAGATGGAAGCATACCAAGTCGCGGGCGAATCTAGAGAGGAAAACTCAAAGGTTCAAGAACGACGGGTTCGGAGTTCGAAAATTCAGTGCGGTACCCCCCAGCGTGGCAGAATTTCAGCCGTTTGGCGTGGGTCCGACGAGAATGGTGCACCGAGCGAGGGTTCTTCCGGCTTTGCAGGGTTGGAGTCTGAACGTTGAGCATGTTGAATGTCCGAAACTTGAGAAACCGTCTGAAGTTTGCTTAAAGGTAGCGGAATTCGAAGGTTTGGGCATATCGAGAACCTTTGAGTTTGAAGCCCGATCTGCGAACTGTAGCCGCGTAGCCGCGGGCGAGTTCGAACCTCGGAGTTGGAAGGATTCTCGAAGTCGCGAGCCCGAGGTTGCGAGCACGAGGGGTTGACAGTTTGAAGGCCTCAGAGCTTGAAAGTTCGAATTTCGAGGTTCTAAAAGCTTGGCGTTTGATCCAACCTCGCTTCGCGAGTCGTAGCTGAGGTCGCGGGATGGCAAATATAAGAGTTGCAACTTTTCAGAGCTCGGGAGTTCGAAGGATTGAAACTTTCAGAGCTTGAACTTGGCAGAGGCCTGCCTGTTAGAGGGTTCGAGAGTTTGAAGTTGGAAAATTTGAAGGTTACCCCAGTGGGGTCATACCAACTCTCTGGGCCCTCAGGTTCCAAGCGCATGTTGGAGCTTAATGCATCGCCAAGCCAGGACGGCACTCTCTGGCACAGAGGGTACAGCAAGCACCTGCATTTCCACTCGCATGCTCGGCACTGCCGGGGCTCAGCATTGCCAGGGAAGGTGGGTTTGATTCGAGAGTCACTCCCTTGAGCTGCAACAATGCAGCTGTTTCACGCATGGGAAAGCTGGAGACGAGTCACAGGTCGCCCCCACTGCTTCTAGGTTTACAGGAGATCGCTGCGGTTGAGATCAGGCCTCGGTGCGAGGCCGCTTCGCATCCTCGGATTCTGTGTCCTTCTCCTTGGAGCAATGGAGGTCTGCACAGCAAGTGCCCTCTATTTTTGTTTGCGCAGGGCAGATCAGCACTTCCGAAATCATGAGAATGGAGTGCGACTTCATGACAGACTGAGGCCTGGTTTTATGTCCCATGGTCGGTAAACGCTCACGACACATGCTTCGCATGGGAACCTGCAGGTCCAAGACGGTCGAAGAGTGCCCAAAGAAAGCCTGCTATGTTTATGCAAGTCACAGTGATCCATCGCTGGATTCCTTGCCGAGAAAAAAGTTTGATGCAGCACCGCGTAATCGGCAATCAACCATACAAGCACAGACTGAGCTGCTCAGCTTGGCTCGATCACCACATGTTGCTCGAGCCCTGCACTAGCTGCAACGGACTCAAATGATACCGAGTTCTCCGTATTTTAGTGCGGACGAGCCAAGGAAATTGAAAGATCTAGCTCGGGAGCCTTCAGAAGTGCAACCCATCCGGGCCTTCAGTGACCAAGGAGGACTTCTGTGCTGAGCGCTTCAGCTTGCGCACGAACTCCGGATCCAGGCTCTCCTGAGCACGGACGCTTTCTTGAGAGCATCCCTGCTTCCATTTGAACCACTCTGCTCCTCGTGTCATGCGGCTTGCACACGACCCTTACCCTTAGCCTTAGCCGAAGGCTCGGATTCTGGAGTCGGCTTTGGCAGCTCCGGGCCCTCCCCTGTGAGCAGGTTCACGAGCTCATCTTCCTGAAAGGCGTGTGCTCTTTCTCTTCTGCCTTCTTTCCTCCGAAATCCACATCCCATCTCTTTTTCCTTCTTTGTTTGGGCTGTGGGTCTGCCATCGAGGACTCCGCACGAGTGCACCCGCCACTCCTTGTAGGTCCTACCTACCTACCTCTCTCTCCCTCTTCACTTCACTTCACTTCAATTCGGGGCATAGCAGGCTGGTCAGGTCTCCAGGGCAGATTGGGCCCAGGCTTTGTGGGGAGAGGTGAAAAAAACACCATGCACCCCGGCACCCCGGCCGTAAGAAGAGACGGTTCTGGCGCTCTCGGTTTATGCATACACACACGGAGAACTAGACAATCTCATGAGTTTGTGTATATGTACACACACATGCATGCGAGTCTGTGCGCGCATGATATAATTGAACATGTTTTATATAGATAGATTGCCCTTTTACTTGATAGACTTAGACTCGCCGACAGACAGACAGACAGACAGACAGGCAGGCAGGCAGGCAGGCAGGCAGGCAGGCAGGCAGGCAGGCAGGCAGGCAGACAGACAGACAGACAGACAGCCACTACCGCTACCACAGCGGCTACCTCTGCTACCACCTTACCACTGCTATTACTACTGCCACTGCCTGCTGCTTGCTGCTGCTACTGCTACCTCTACCTGCTACTGCTACTGCTACTGCTACTGACTGCTACTGCTACTGCTGCTGCTACTGCTTCTGATGCTGCTGCAAGTACTACTACTACTACTACTACTACTACTACTACTACTACTACCACTACTACTACTTCTTCTTCTACTGCTACTAC